TACTTCCTCCTTTACTCCATGACATTAGTTTTGTGAGGACTGTAACACTCCAGTTCACTGAAGCTCTGGAGAAAAAGTCAACCCCTCCGATAGTCACTGTATAACCTGAGTACACAACTGAAATATATACCTGTAGGTGAAGTTGTTCTTAGACCTGATGTGGAAAGGTTACATGTTTTAACTTACAGGAGCAACTGACTTTGTGGCATTCTGTCAGGTTTTCCCATGAGACATCCAACTTCAACAAAGAGCCGTTTGTCTGGAGCCAGAACGTCCTCAGAATAAAGTCAATATTCAACATCCCGGTTTCATGTAACTGCTAAAATGACAGAAAATGAAAAAAGACGTTCATCCACTTAAGAACATCAACAAACGTTGAGCTTAACTGAAAAGACGTCTGGGGAACGTGACGCCCAGCTGCTCTCACCATCAGACCCATCATGCATTTCACCTGAGAGCTGGTGTCAGACGGCGCCCTCCTGTCACGGCTCATCACCACCAGCAGAAACCACTGACGTACAGAGGCCGGAATCACAAACACCTCGACTCTGTCACGTTGTTTTCTCACATATAAGTTTAAATTTGCTCGTGTCGTTACTTCTGGGAAACTTGGTTAAAAGTCCAGATGGACGAGGAGCCTCTCATGAAACCAACTTTTATTATGGTTCAAAATAATGAGCTGAAATGAGACGGGGCGCTGGCCAACTGTCCCTCTGCCCCGGGGAGACTCTGCCCCTCCAAGCACTTGAACCGGACCGTCACCACTGAACCTCCACTCAGATTCTGCTTGTTTTTGGAAAACAGTCTGAGGATTAGACCTCGGCGTTGACTCTACCTCTCACGAGGACGTCTTCCTAGAAAAACAGGCTGCGTTTATTGCTGCTTTGGGGCAGCAGATGTTCACATTTGACGGCTGTTGCATCATTGACTGACGTGTTGGGGATTCAGATGAAGTGAAGACAATTTAACGTTAACTTATGGGTGGTAATAAACAGGTTGGAGCTGTTTGAAAGTGAAGTTACCCTGACATTTCCTTAATCCCCTCCCTCGTGGTGCCAGAGGAAACAACTGTTTCGCCATCAGTCTTGCAAAACCACAACTGGATGACACTGAGAGACAGGAGATCATGTGAGCCTGGATGGATTTAAGGCCTACAGTATTTAAGCTCTGCAGTGAGTGAGTGTGAGTGTGAGTGTCAGAAGTGTCGACACCAGGGAATAAGACACTGCTGCGTCAGGGCGACCCACGATGCTTCAGTCTCTTGTGACAAAGCTGCACAACAGCGACGCGTAGCTCATCATCTG